TAAGGCACCGAAATCTCATTGACAAGTTCCTTTAAAGGCTTGGTTGGAATCTCGCCTGGTCCTAACGAATTCGATTCGTTCAATGCCTCTTATTCTCTTCGGACAACACCTTCTGAGAAGAGTGTAGTACATATGCTTGGAGTCGGCAGTCCTCCTATGGACTGGTGGAGGAGTCTTGCCTCGTGTCTGTAGATTGATTGGAAGAAGTGTGAAAAATACGCAGATTTGTCCCTGCTATCGGCAATCTCAATCCTACTGGTAATCTTTATTAGGTGGATTTGATGTCTGTGTTCTTGTACTACTTCTGAGGTACGTGTGGAGTAATTTCGGGTTCTGTGTTGCCTTTCGTGGAAACGTTTTCTCATATTCTCTGCGCGTTCTTATAAGCATGCTTCTCAGTTTGTTTCTTTGGGTTTTGTAGGTGTTGAAATGCTCAACTTGCCCACTGACGCAGTATCTTCTCCACATTTTATGCCTTCTGTTAACTTTTTTGGGTTGCTATTTAGCCACCCAGGCCACTCGTTCTGACTTGCGCTCGTCAGTGGTCAGTGGCTGTTGATGAGCTGCAGAAGGACATTCTTAAACAACTCTCAATCATCGTTGGCATTACCGGTAAACAATGACCTCCAGCCGAAACCGGATATATCTGTCCTCATTTCATTGTAGTCGCCCCGCTAGATGTTGCGCCATTTTTAATCTAGGGGATGTAAAATCGAGAGAAGCGACTAATCTCACATAAGCACTACATGGTCACTTCGGCCGAGGGACATCGTCGTTCACGAGATCGTCTCTTTTTCTTCTCATTTATGTCCGGGGACGCGCATTTTCGCTTCTATCACCGTATATATATATATATATATATATATATATGTATGCGTGAAGGTTCGAGGTCCAGATATCTTACCTTTTATCATCCCCCGAGGAAGACGAAGAAGAGAAGGCAATTTCATGGACCAGATTTTATTCAAACTGACGTTTCGGAAACACGCTCGTTTCCATTATCAGTGTCGGTCGCTGGCGTTTCCTGCTGGCTTTGATTTGTTCAGCCTTGCCGCCTGCCTCGTATTATAACCGTTCTCAGCGTACGCACGTTGGCTAGCCTGTTCTCTGTTGGCTGATTGTGGCTTCCTTGATCCCAGTCATTGGCGAACTGGCGTGCCCTGTGTCCCCCTCACACCTGACGTGGCTGCCGCCGCGTCGGCGTGCTCGTTGACCTCTCCCTCGTCAGACGGCGGGCTGATCGATCATCGTTCCTCAGGCGTGGTCTTTCCGGCCTCGCGAGCACGTCCGTGAGATAGCGTGCCATGCCGTTTACGTGACATTCGGTCAGTGCCTTCCCTCCCCGCCAACTTCGGTAGTGGACCACGTGTGACACTTTTCATCCGCGCCATTGGCCCTGCCTGGACTGACTCGAGTCTCGCGCGAAGCGCCTGGTAGGCGGGATGTAGGTCTATGGCCAGGTTGTGGGTGCCAGTCGAGGACCAACTTTCCTGCATCAGTCTGGCCATTTTGTCATTGGCTCGACCGACCACCCGCGTTTCCTCGAAAGCGAAATTGTGGTTCCGTTCTAATGTGTAAGCATACACCAAAGACAGCTTATCCTTGGGGTTAATTACCAGCTGATGCTCATGCAATCTTGTGCCGAGGCGTTTCCCCGTTTCACCAACATACTTTGCATCACAATCTTGGCATGGTATGCTGTAGACCACCGCTGATTGTTCTGTCACCGGCAGCGGGTCTTTGGGCCTCATTATCTGCTGTCTGATTGTTGATGCTGGTTTATGGGTCAGATAAATTCCAAAAGGTTTCAGAATTCTTGAAGTCGCCTCTAAAACATTACATAGCGGATCGACAGACAGAACTGTGGTTTCTCCTCGTTCGACCGCCCCGAGTGGGTCTTCCTGAGACACTTGCGTATGAATGACTTCGGGTAACCGTTGGCTTCAAATAGGGCACGTAAGTACCTCACCTCCTTCTTCCTGTCATCGTCGTCGCTACAGTGTGTTTGGGCGCGTTGGAAAAGGGTCCTGACACAACTGCGTTTGTGACCGACGGGGGGTTGCTTCTGAAGTGGAGGATGCGCCTAGGCGCATCCTGCTGATTGGTCTATCACCGGCAGCGGGTTTTTGGACCTCATTATCTGCTGTCTGATTGTTGATGCTGGTTTATAGGCCACCCCGTCGGTCACAAACGCAGTTGTGTCAGGCCCCTTTCCCAACGCGCCCAAACACACTGCAGCGATGACGATGACAGGAAGAAGGAGGTGAGGTACTTACGTGCCCTATTTGAAGCCAACGGTTACCCGAAGTCATTCATACGCAAGTGTTTCAGGAAGACCCATTCGGGGCGGTCGAACGAGGAGAAACCACAGTTCTGTCTGTCGATCCGCTAAGTAATGTTTTAGAGGCGACTTCAAGAATTCTGAAACCTTTTGGAATTTATCTGACCCATAAACCAGCATCAACAATCAGACAGCAGATAATGAGGCCCAAAGACCCGCTGCCGGTGACAGAACAATCAGCGGTGGTCTACAGCATACCATGCCAAGATTGTGATGCAAAGTATGTTGGTGAAACGGGGAAACGCCTCGGCACAAGACTGCCTGAGCATGTAGCAGCCGCTCAAGTCGGTCAAGGATGTGAGATCAACTTAAACCACGCACAATAAGTTCGTCTCGTCTTATGTCAGAAGTCAGAGAGCTGTGAGGACTAGTTTATTCAGTACACAGGGCAGGTTGCCGTAAGTTGGCTGTTTGCTTGCGACAGAGTTGAGCGTCCGTTCACGGAGAGCGTCAGTCGCGGTGTGTCGTTTACGCGGGGGTGAAAGTCTGTGTCAGTAGGTGGGGATGACTGCTTAAATGGACAGATTAGGGGAGGATTAGGGGGAAGCATAATTACAGGGGCTCACGGGTATCAATCCAGGTCGTCCGACGCGCATGAGGTGATAATAGTTTGTGGGGGAAGTCGGGGGTCACTGCAGCTGGACAGGAGGGGCCCCAGTTCTAGCCGGCGGGGGTGGTTGTGTGTCAGCGGCCTGGCAACGATTGTCGCGGCCATCGACCGACAAAACGGAGCCGCAGAAAAGGGGGACTGGAGCGGCTGCTACAACTCCCCCCAGACACCAAACGAAGTGAAGACGTCGACATGCTAGTCTGCCACAAACCTGTCGGGCCAGTGCACATGGCGACCAGATCGTGTGCGGCGAACCGGAGGCGGGCTGTCGCCAGTAGTTGGAGGCATCACTGTTTGCGGCGGGGTACAGTGTTGGGGTGAGGGATGGTCACTGTTGTCGATGTAGGCCGGCTTGACGCGATCAATACTGACTGTGTCGGTTTTGCCGTTGCGATCGATGACAACATCTTTGTCAGATCGACGAAGGACTTTATACGGCCCGTCATAGGGTGGATGGAGTGGTCGCCGGACAGCGTCATGCCGAACCAAGACGAAATTGCACTTATCCAGGTCGGGAGGGATGAAGGAATTGGCCGGTAACGCCCGAGGGGGCGTTGAGCGGAGATTGCGCATGGCACTACGCAGCTGCTCCACATAACTGTAAGGTTCAAAAAACGTTAGCATGTTTGAGGGAGACACTAACTCACCGGGCAGTCGTAGGGAGGTTCCGTAGACAAGATCAGCCGCAGTACAACCGATGTCGGCTTTGAGAGTGGAACGGAGGATCAACAGCACCAGGGGAAGGTGATCAGACCATCGGGCAGGATCGGATTGGGTCATAAAGGAAGTCTTGAGCTGTCGATGGAAGCGTTCGACGAGACCATTTGCTTGAGGGTGGTACACTGTTGTTCGAATTCGGTTGGTACCGAGAAGGGAGGTGAGTTCGCGAAACAGCGTGGACTCGAATTGGGATCCGCAGTCAGTGGTGACAGTCGCAGGAACTCCAAAATTGGACACCCAATGAGTCAAGAAAGCTCTTGCTACGGTTTCGGCACTGATATCCGGAATGGGCGCAGCGACCGGCCACCGAGTAAAGCGATCAATGCATGTCAGTATATAGGTAGAACCGTTAGATGGTGGAAGCTGACCTACCAGGTCAATGTGCACATGACTGAAGCGTGTAACAGTAGTGGCCAAAGTACCTGGCGGAGTAATAGTATGCCGATGCGTTTTGGCTCGTTGACATGGTAGACAGGATCGGGTCCAACGCCGTACATCCCGGTTGATTTTGGGCCAGACGAATCGATCAGTGATGAGTTTCACTGTCGCCCGGACTCCAGGGTGGGATAGATCGTGAAGAGTGTTGATCACTCGTCGTAAATTTGCTGAAACAAAAGGACGTTCCTGTCCGGTAGAAAGGTCACACGTGATTGTGCCAGTGCCGATGGGAAGGGGGACATTTCGAAGGCGTAAGTAAGAGTCCTCGTGGCGGTATTGGGGGAGTTTGCCATCCGATCGTTGAGCCTCACCCATGAGCGTGAAGTCTATGGCGTCTTTTGTTAGGGAAGTCATCTCGAGTCTTGAAAGAGCATCAGCGACCACATTTTCCTTACCGTGGACATGTTGGATGTCGCAGGAAAACTGTGAGATGAAGTCCAAATGACGAATTTCACGGGGCGAGTATCGATCGGGAGAGGTCCTCAGTGCAAAAACGAGTGGCTTGTGATCTGTTAGAACAACAAATTCACGACCCTCAAGGAAACGTCGGAAGTGCCAGATGGATAGGTAGACAGCGAGTTCTCGGCCGAAGACACTGTAGCGAGTCTCGGCTGGGCTGAGCTTCTTCGAGAAGAAAGCCAGAGGCTGTAGAACACCACTATCTGTTTGCTGAAGTGATGCACCAACGGCAGTGCTGGAAGCATCTGTCATGAGAGTTAGCTGAGCATCTGAGCGAGGATGGGCAAGCAATGTTGCGTCCGCAAGTGCGGCCTTGACGTCATTGAAGGACCTGACGGCCTCCTCGGTCATCACTAGTGTCTTCTTGGAGTGGGTCAACAGGCTGTTGAGAGGCTGCAGTATGGTGGCACCATGGGGAAGAAAACGGTGATATTAGTTCACCATCCCCAAGAAGCGGCGTAGTTGGTTGATGGTTGTCGGGACGGGGAACGTTGATATGGCCGAAACCTTTTCTGGGACGGGCTTTATCCCATCTGAGTTCACTTCGTGACCCAGGAAGATTAGGCTGGGGACTCCAAACTCACATTCAACAGCATTTATTACAACGCCGAAGGAGTCGAGCCGTTCGAAGAGCTGTCGAAGATGAATCTCGTGTTCAGCAGCGTCAGAACTAGCCACTGGCAAATCATCAATGTAGGCGTAAACGAAGTCGAGACCTCGCAGAACCTGATCAATGAATCGCTGAAAGGTTTGAGTGGCGTTCCTCAGACCAAAGGACATACGAGTGAATTCGAATAACCCAAAGGGAGTGGTCACTGCAGTTTTCGGAACATCACTGACCTCGATTGGGATCTGGTGGTAGGCACGCACAAGGTCAATCTTGGAGAATATTCGCTTACCATGCAGCGAAAGGGTGAAGTCTTGGATGTGCGGGACGGGGATACTGGTCGGGGACCGTCGCTGAGCTCAACGCCCGATAGTTGCCACACGGTCGTCAGTCGCCGCTCTTCTTTGGGACAAGATGGAGGGGTGAAGCCCAGCAACTGTCGGACTGTCGGATGATGCTGAGCTCAAGCATGTGTTCCAACTCTGCCTTGGCGATCTTCAAACGGTCCGGAGCAAGACGACGTGGTCGGCAAGATTTGGGAGGTCCATTGGTGGAAATGTGGTGAGTGACTGTGTGTTTAATGTCCACTTCACGAAATGAGGGGTTGGTCGGTTGGGAAACTGCCTGAGGAGCGAGTGGAAAGGACAGTCAGAAATGGGCATAACAGGGAGAGGGTTGACGCAGGGGTTCACATCGGATTGACAACGGGCATGCAGGTCGGTGATGCAGTAGACGAGTCGGCGATTCTTCAAATCAACTGGTAGATTGAAGTGAGCTAGGAAATCGGCGCCTATGAGGGCGACGGAGACGTCAGCAATAATGAAAACCCATCGGAAAATTCGACGAAGGCCCAAATCAAGCGTGATGGGGCGCTGTCCAAAGGTGGAGATGCTGGAGTTGTTGGCAGCTGTTAGACAAAAAGAGCTGCGGATTTTGCGTTCGGCCGGAGTTGGTGGAACCACGCTAACCTCGGCACCAGAGTCGACAAGGAATTTGGCGCCAGCGATACGGTCCCAGAGAAACAAACGGCGAGTATGGAGATTGGCAACACTTCTAGCAGAAGTGGCCTCTACTGTCGGGTGGGATCGTCTGCCTGAGGCCGTTAGAGATGTATTGAAAGAGCATGGTTGATGACATCGTCGAGCTGCTTCTCCAAATTGTTGGTGATACCAACAGACGCTACTTAGAGATTGTGAACGGCGGGTGTGGGAAACGGAGGAAGTACGGCGACGGTTAAGTGTTCGCCGCGGGCCGTTAGTGGTAACTGCAGTGATCTGGGCTTTCAGGCGCATTATTACCTCCTCGAGCCGATCCAAGCGTACGCTAGCTCCTTGAGGATTTGAGTTGATGAGTGACTTCTGGCCTTAGGACATCGCGCTGTAGGTCGTCGGAAGATTGTTGTTGTGGACGAAAAGTTTGCGGAATTCCAGTGTTCGGAAATCACGTCGGGGTCACCAATTTTTGGCGGTCAAGGATGTGAGATCAACTTAAACCACGCACAATAAGTTCGTCTCGTCTTATGTCAGAAGTCAGGGAGCTGTGAGGACTAGTTTATTCAGTACACAGGGCAGGTTGCCGTAAGTTGGCTGTTTGCTTGCGACAGAGTTGAGCGTCCGTTCACGGAGAGCGTCAGTCGCGGTGTGTCGTTTACGCGGGGGTGAAAGTCTGTGTCAGTAGGTGGGGATGACTGCTTAAATGGACAGATTAGGGGAGGATTAGGGGGAAGCATAATTACAGGGGCTCACGGGTATCAATCCAGGTCGTCCGACGCGCATGAGGTGATAATAGTTTGTGGGGGAAGTCGGGGGTCACTGCAGCTGGACAGGAGGGGCCCCAGTTCTAGCCGGCGGGGGTGGTTGTGTGTCAGCGGCCTGGCAACGATTGTCGCGGCCATCGACCGACAAAACGGAGCCGCAGAAAAGGGGGACTGGAGCGGCTGCTAAAAGCATCAGCTTGCAATTAACCCCAAGGATAAGCTGTCGTTGGTTAAGCCCACCCTATATATATCTAAATACATATTGCTAACGGAGGCGAAGGTGCGCATCCCTGTAAATAACTGAGAAGAAAAGGCGATCTCGGGAACCACAGTTTTACTGTTCTGACGTTCCAAAAGCAAACAAGCTTCCATCGTCGGAGCTGAATGTGGTATCGCGCCTCACAGTATTTATAGGTGGGTGACAGTCGTTTCAAGACGGGTTTTCTTACATATGAAGTCAGGGCGGCAGGAAGGAATGAAGGGGCGGGGAGGGAGTCCTACAGAGTCTTTTCGCCGGATGAGGGGGTGGTGGATCAGCTTAAGTGGTCACCAGCCGCATGCACACATGAACTGTGACGGGCGGGGGGAGGGGGGAAGGGAGGGTGACGGAGTGTACTCAGTCTACATCGGGGGCTGGCGTTGAGACGTTGGTGACCGTAGTTCGTGTCTTCATTGACCGTAGTTGTCGTACCAGCCTGGAAATCTTGTTTACGCTGCAACGACTGTCCGTTTTCTCGTCCGCCGGACTAGTAGATAGACCGGCTGTGGTGAGGACTGCGCCTTCGTGGGAACCCGGTTGAGGGGTGACTGAGTGTGTATACGTCATGGACTTGCTCATGTCTGGATTCATGTTTAGCCTGGATGCACGTCTGCTCATTTTTCTACTGAGCTGCGATCGAAGGGCTTGGTAGGCAGTGGGAAGAGCCACACAACGGTTGATGGAGGTTGTTTCCGTGTGCCAAGTCTCGATTGTTTCCCTGGCTATGCGGTCGTTTCCCAGGCCCAGAATTTCGGCATGCTGAAAGGCGAACGTGTGTCCGGAATTGGCGCAGTATTCGGCCACCAGAGACAAAGGGCCCATTCGACTTACTGCCCTCATGTGTTCTCCAACACCGATCTGTAGCCGTTTACCGGTCTCCCCAGTGTAGTTGACTTCGCAGGAGTTATACCGAATCCGGTAGATGACGTTCGTGGTTTCACCTAATGGCAGAGGGGCCTTAGGTCTCATGACCAGATGTCGAATCGTTGACTCCGGTCGGTGGGCGATGCCGATCCCCAGCGGTCTTAAGAGAGGGGAGACTGCCTCAGAAACGTCGTCGATGTATGGAAGCGCCCGCCATATTTTTGGTCGTTCTGTCACCAAAAGTCTGCTCAGTCCGGCCTGCCTGCCGCGTTCGATGAATTTGCGAGGATATCCGTTGGCCATGAAGAGGCGCTGGAGGTAGCGTAGTTCTGACCTGCTTAACCGCCTATCTGGATGGTCTGGCAAATGGTTGCTAAAATATGACCTTGAGAATTGTGTCACACTGCAACTCGAAACGTAGGACATAGCAGATGGAGATAATTAACAATACCTCCTTGACGGAAGACACCTTTCAAATGTAGCTGAGCAAAAAGACCTTAGGATCAACATTTTTCGTCTGTTGAGCCTTCACTCAATGTGTTCAGTCGGCTAAAATCGTAACCACTACTCTCTTCGTCGTTAAAAGACTTTAATAAATATAGATAAAAAGCTAGTTGGGAAAGTAGACAGAGCCTTTTGGTCGTTCGCAAATGGAGTATGAAACTCAAATAGGACGCTCCTGGCTGAAAAAAGATTATAAGCTGCTGGAAAGGGTTTAAAGGAGGGCGGCCAAAATCTTAAAAGACCCCAAGACTTTGTCTTACAGATCCTGACCTGATGAGAAAAACCTACTTCCTCTTGAATACAGGCAGGTCCAAGGAGATTTACTACAAACTCAACGGATTGTTAGGAGTCTGGAATGTTCTCTGCGCCACGATTATTTTTCCTCCTTGGCTGAAACAATAAATCTGCGTGTGAACTCCCTCAAACTTCGGGGAGTCCAATCCCATCTGGACGTTCGTAGGCACTCGCTTTCGCAGCCAGTTTTTGGTGCCTGGGACGGACCTCCCAAAGAAGTGATAATGGCAGACACGACAGAAGCGTTCAGACGAAGATTTAATACCTATTTACTTGGAAATTACCGCTTACATGGACAGGACATTGCCGTCTTTCTAAACCGACGTTTTGCATACACCTACTGCTAACGCAGATAAATATTATTTCGTGTTTGATACTATCCTTCATAACTTAAAGTGTCCACCCCGTCAGCACCAGCCGTGCCGAACCCCTCTAAAGCCTCGCGGGGCTATAGGCGGCGATTAGCGACTATACAGGGTCTGAATACGGGGCTGTGACAGGGCTTTCGACGCCGTAACCCCCTATTGCCCTCTCGCGCGAAAAAAATGCGCAGCAAGACGCCTCCTTTCCGCCTTCTCCCGCCCCTTTTTAAAATAACGACTTTGTCATCCTCATTATAATGCCTTACGCATGGCGCATCGTAGTCTGGCATCCTCCCAGGTGACTCAAACGTATGTAGACATCGTAGTGCACCCGCGCGTAACCTTCTCCATAATGGTATCGGACAGTGCACCCCATTAAATGAGAAGAAATAGTTTAATGGTAATAAGCAAAGTAGGAAATATATAAGGATAGTATTACAATCATAGAAGTTGTCAGTCAGTGTGAAGAAAAATTTCCGTTGTCAGTGGCGGGTTTCTAAAAATGAAGTAAATGAAGTGTTATAACAATGAGTAAAAGGAAAGAATGTTAAAGTTGACTGCTGAACAGGAATAGTAAGCCACAGAATAGCGCACGGTTTGTAATACGCAATTAACAAGTGTGTTAACGTGTTGAATGGTGACAATGGTTTGCTATTATGAATTTGTCGGCGTAGAAGTTTTACTTGAGGAAAGGATAATCTCCCAGTTTAAAAGGCCCTAATTTATACCATGGTATTAATTTGGCGAAGAGAAAAAGTAAATTAAAGTGTTACATTGTTTAAAAATGGTCGTTTCATGGTTCTCAACGGGAAATGAAAAAAAAGTTAAAATGTGGGTGGATTTATACTACTTAAGAGATCATAAGTAACGATGTCACGAAATTCATCTCTGTTTACTTTTATCCTTTAAACCTTTCCTATGCTATTTACCACATACCTTAGAATCTAATACTAGATCTGCAGTAAACGAGAGGTAACGTTTACGTACAGTCTAAAATTCGAACTTACGGTGTCCTCCGACGGAGATGATGATGGAAGGAGTTCGACATCGGTGATCCCTATTTACACCTAAATGTATTGTTAGGAACAAACTGAATATGACTGACATACTTTGGCGGTGTTGTGCCGGCGTATTGCTCTGCCACCGTACCGGTGTCTTGACCCCTGAAACCAGTCGATTGCACTTCTTCGAACTAGTTCCTCCAGGGTAGACTGAATGTGAGAAAATATTTCTTCTCCAACCGTGTCGTGGAACCGTGGAATAACCTGCCCGAGACGGTTGTTATGTCTCAATCTGTGGAGACATTTAAATGTCGCCTTGACAGATATA